GCGCTTCAGAGGCAGGTGGGCAGAACCACTGAGCTAACTCCCCTGCCCTCTAGTATATTCTTTAACCTAGATAAATATTAATGTAGTAAGTCAGTAGTGGGAATAAGCTTTTAACTTTAAAGTTTCCAGCTAAGAATGTCTTCTTTCACAAAGGTGAATCACTAGTGTGACATGTTTTCTTGGGCTCTTGTATATTTTTCTTCTAACCAAACTAGGATAAGTTCTTTTTTGTCCAGTTAGAAGGATATTTTGATAAAATGATTTCAGGAACTGAAGGTTCTTCCTGTACATCACAGCCTACCTTTTTACACCTTAGTGCACACCAGAAATTAGCCATCAATTTTGCCTTTTTAATTTTTTTCCTGTAAGTGCAAATATTCATAGAATAGTTTGAGCACAAATAATAAGTATGTCTAAGCCATATTTCAGCCAGTAGGGAGTTAGGTTAGGACCCTATCGTCCTTTACAGTTTACAGTTTGTGATGCGGCCTGGGACTCCCTGGAGCGGGGATAGGAGGTAGGTAAGTCCCTAACTGTAGAGTTCCTTGAGTGCTTTCAAAGACCTTTGATCCTCCAGGGCCCTCTTATGTAGGGAACTACTTCCTGACCTCTGTCTCAGCCTCAGTAGATTTATGATAACTCTGTTTCCTTGTGTACAAACTGGGGGAAGAAACAGGGCTACTGTGAAAATTAAGAGATGGTTCCTAAAGCAGACAGGAAATGGAGACTGTCATAATGTGGAGTCTGGATTTATAGCTAAGAAGACTGAGGTCTGGAGAAGTTTAATTTACCTCATTACCCAGGGAGCCAGTGATTCCAGTCCACTTTCCTGACTCTGGGTTCTTTTTGAGGGAGTGTTAGGAGGGGGAGTACTATGTTTGTTTAACAAGGCAGAGTACATCCTTTTGGCAAGAACTGGCTTCTCTAGCATCATGAATAACTTTTAGAGTAATTTTTGCTCTGAGAAAGGAATGAGGTAGGAGACAGACACTTATTCCAGTAAAATTGTTATTTTTACCTACTAGGTTTACTGTGTGCCGTAGTTTTTGCATTTTGGGGGTGTTTTTGGCACATGTAACCAGTGGAATCTGTCAAAGTTATTGCATCATTAATAATAATATAGATGTCTCAGGGAATTCAGTATAAAATTAGACTGGCCTTGTGGAGTTATTGGGATCATACAGTGGTTGCTTCCAACAGGAAGTTTAATGAAAGAAAGGAGAGAAGGGTGTTTTGAATTCAGACAGCTTTAGAAACTGGCTGAAAAGCATGCTACCTCCTTGATGTTTTAACAGCCTGGGGCTTCTTCCTGTGGAAACAATGCTCTGTGTGGATTATCTCAATGTAAGGTTATTTATTACATGTGAATATGCAGGTCTGCCTTAATTTTCCACTCAAGGACATAAGTATCCTTTGTGAATTATTTCACAACGTTCCTTTGTATGACACTGGGCTTCTAGTGTTAAATGTTCCTCGGGCCTTTCAAAAACTATTACTTATTTTGCAATGATTGGCACAATGGTTTGTATGTTTTTAAAATCCAGAACCAAGATCTGTCATGTAAAGGTACAAGATCCCAATGACAAATGTAACTGTACTGTATACTGAAAAAGTACCCATAAACTCAATGAAAAAAATCCAGTATTTGGAGGGAATTTCTGTTTGATTGTACTTCCAGTAAGTACACACACTTTATGTGTATGTATATTTTCTATACATACCTATAATATACACATATTTTAATATATGTATAGATAGGAATTTTTAATCTAAAAAGTAATATAAGCCCATTGAAGCAAAAGTAGACGATATGTATCTTAAATATCATGATCTAGTAGTTTATTAATCTAATTCATTGACTTAGTTTGGAATCAACTTAGGTGAAAATCATAACCTAGTGTTTGTCAATGCACTGCCCCCCATCCATTTTATAACAAGCTTTTACAGGCGTGGTGTGTTTTGTACTGTGATTTGCACAAAATTAGATAGAGTGCTTTGGGGATTCTCCACGCTATTTAAATGGCTTTTTACAAGGAATTGAAAGATTTTAAGGTGGTGAAGGCTTGTTGTCTTGTCTTAGTGTGTTTTGCTGATAACCAGTCTGGTATGAAGGGGTCTTTGAGAAGTTCCCAGAATGTTTGGGATTTAGATCATGTAGATTATATGGTCAGAATTGGGACTGATCAGTGGAGCTTTGGGGAGACTTGTTGCCTATATGGGTGGGAAATTGTATTTAGCAAGGAGATTAAAATAAAACCATCAATGAAGGAGTAAAGGGCTTGAAGATAATTTATTAACACTCCTTGTAGGAAAGAAATAGCGTTTTGGTACTTTTCAATTTGGCATTTATTACCTATGTAGTTAGCTGATAGATATTTTCTTCCACAAAATCTGCCCTTTTAAAACTTCCCATCACAGGCTTCTCTAGAGGCTGGAGCTTGTCAGACAGGTTTGGCAGCGGTATTTGTGCCCAATGCAGTGTGCCCTTGGTGACTGCCCCACCCATAATGTGGGGCATTAGACTAATTACCACTTCCCAGAGAGCAGCTTGCCCAGGAGCTCACTCCGTAGCATCTACCAGCAGGATGGCTGCACGGCTAGAAGCAGCCCAAGCCTAGATTAGAGAGTGTAGTCTTTTTTTTTTTTTTTTTTTTTTTTTTTTTTTTTTTTATAAAATATAACACAGATATTCACATTATCATCTGTTCATTGTGAAGTAGGGAAGACAAGTATTTCCTTTTAAAAATCAGAGGAATGGAATAGTGACGTAATCAGAAGTAGGTGGTACAAGATGGATCCCAAATTAAATCCCAAATCTTCTTGTCTAGTGTATATCCTCTCAGATTATTTTAGGTGACACTGATTTTATTTAGCTTCTTTAGGAAAATATTGCAAAAGGGTTGTGCAAGAGAGAAAAAGAAGGCAAGGTGTGGCTGTTTGACTACATAGTGATCACTCCTGTTTGTATTGACTTTTGATAACTTAAGTGAGAAACATGTGGTCTCTATTTAATTCCTATGAATCATAACCTCAATTATGTAAAATGGATCACACCTTAAATAACTTGCTAGTGAGTAAGGTTCAAAACTAAATGAGTAGCCGGGTGTGGTGGCGCATGCTTGTAATCCCAGCACTCCGGAGGCTGAAGCAGGAGGATTGCTGTGAGTTCCAGACCAGCCTGGGCTACATAGGGAGTTCCAGGTCAGTCTCAACTACATAGTGAGACCTGTCTCAAAAAACCAAATAAAAAACAAAAACAAAAACAAAAAAACTGAATGAGTAGTTGCTAGATTAGAGTGACTAGATAAAAAGGTGTTCCTTGGAAATTCTGGAATTTCTTTCAGAATATAAATTCTAACATAATGATGGATTCATATTTTAAAATGTGACTTATTTTTTAGGCCTTTTATAGGTCTTTATAATTTTTGACATTTTGAGGATGCAGAAGTTAATTTAATAGATTTTCTTACAGAGCCTTCACACTAAGCTATATCCCCAGTCCTTTCTATTTTTTTATTTTGAGATAGAGACTCTCTAGATAACCTGTGGCCCTCTTACCTCAGCCTCTTGAATCTTGGGACTGCAGGCACATACCACCATGCCTTGCTAACTTTGATTATGAAAGCAGCTATTATTTTTCACAACAGATCTTTTATCTAAGTATAGCAATGCTGGGCATGGTGAAGAGATGCGGAATCAAGACAGAGGATTCTGGGTGGACTGTAAAGGGATGGGGGCGGTGAGAGAGAAAAGCAGAAGTTTGGTGGTGAACATTACTTTGCATATGCCTGAATCTTACGGCTGACCTGAGATTTATTTTTTTTTTCTTTTTATTGAGTTTATTGGTACATTCTAGGTATACAGTACAGTTACATTCATTACTGGGATCCTGTACCTTTACATGACAGGTCTTGGTTCTCATTTTTTCCCCTTGTCCCTGCCCTCCCTTCACCCCCTCTGACCTGGGATTTAAAGGTTAGTGACTTTCCAATTCAGGATTCCAGAAATATATTGGCAGATGGAACAAGGACTCCTGCTCTCAGTTTTGGGGATTTAGCTCAGTGGTGCCACTGCCTGCCTCACAAGTGCAAGGTCCCAAGTTCAATCTCCTGTACCAAGACAAAAAAAAAAAAAAAAAAAACAAAAAAAAGACTCCTGCTCTTCTGTGGCTAGTACATGACTAGGCTAGGCTAGGTGATGTCTCTGCTAGAGATCTGGGCCCCGGGGTCTTTCATGGAGCAGGTTTCTCCACTGTGACAGCTTTTCCCGTGGTAGCCTTCCCTTTGTCTGCTCCTACTCACCTCTCCTGTGCAGCCCCTTTTCTCTCTCAACCATTCCACCATCTAGAGACAGAGTCAAGTTTTTTTTGTTTTTTTGTTTTCTAAATGTTTCAGTAAGATCTTTGGTGGTGGTAGCTACAGGTGGCCTGTAATATAGAATAGCCTTAAGCTCGAAATTGGGTATTTAAAATATTTTTGATCTTCTCTCTCTTTTGGTCTCTCTGTGCTAGGATTTAATAGTCTTCTTATGAAGTTGGAGGAAACAGGTTTTTTTTGCATGTATTAGGGATACTTCATGAATAAGATTAAGGAGAGTCATCTCTTTGATTTTTAGCTTTGTAATGAGACTAGGTGTTTAAAGATGGAATTGAAATTAATGATGTGCATATATAGATATAGTTTAAGTTTATATCTTAAACTTTATTTACCATTAGTTTACTTTATTATGTTGCAAATTTAGCTTAGCTTCTAACTTTGTTTATCATCCAGAAAAAGTTACATTACAGAAAACACCCCTTGTGGTTTTTTTTCTGCATATATTTGTTCACACTAAAATGGTTGTAACAGAACAGTTTGTAATTTCCCATAAGGAACAGCTTTTGGTGATATATGCAAATCCTTTAGGTACAAGGTGAATGCATTTTAATTAATCTAATACTGAAATTGACTTGTGTGTTATCCTTGTTGAAGAGACGGTTAACATCCAAATCTGTCTTTCAGGCAGTAACAGAGAAGAATTTTGAAACAAAGGATTTCCGTGCCTCTCTGGAAAATGGCATCCTGTTGTGTGAGTAAGTATTTAAAGCACTTAAAAATCACTCAGAAGCAAAGATGTGTTTGTGGGTGCTATGAGATGCCCCATGGTCTCTGTAGTCACAGATCCGTGTTCTTGGTCACAGGTGAGATTTGATCCCTGTGAATTGACACCCCCAGAGTAGGAAGCAGTAGGAGAGATTATCAGTCTCTCTATCTACAGATAGTGCTAGTGAAATATATATTATTTTTAATTAGTAAACAGAAAGATTCTGTTATTGCCTGGTGGGCCAGTAGAGTTGGGTGGTTAAAGAGGAAGGGTTATTAGATTTCACTCTCTGTCGCTTACCCTAAATTGTCTAATGTGTAGCATCGCCTGGTTTTGATATTAATATCAAAACTACTGAACTTTTAAGACTACTGAACTTTATTCATCAATAAGCCATGATGATTGGAGCAGCAGATTTTTATTTTATGCTTTTTAGTGGTGTCACTTTATTACTCAAATAACTTGAATCATGGACCATTCATTCAGTTAATAGATGCTATTGAAAATGATATTGCAGGCTGTGGTTATCATAAGTAAAATAGTCTGGTACCATGATTAATGACATAGGCCTACATTGTATGTTTAGTGCAGTGTTTGGTTCTCCAGTGGATACATAGAAAAGTTTATGTGACCTTTGGGGATAAGGTACAGGCAGGCAGGTGATTTGAGAGGCAAATGGAGGAAGGTACAGTGAACAAATAAATTGTAAGAATGTACTTGAGTGCCCACCCACTTATGAAAGCACTTGGTAACTCCAGTCTAGACACTTACTACGTAGATATTTGTGGAATCTGTCTTCATGTAAGCACTGGAATATATGTACTAGTATTTAGATAATTTTTTTGAAGGATGTTATTTGCAAAAAGATCCAGAGTCAAAGCATTAGATTCCATGCTCTATTACTTTCAGAAATTTGAGTAAGAGACTTCTGTTTATGTCCGAGCAAGTGGCTTTTTATATTTCTCATCTCTAGAGATCAGGATATTTTATCTGCCTAATTCACGGGGTTACTGTATTCAATAATGCATCTGTTAAGGTTTTTGTAAACTATTAAATTTTGTATTAGTGCAAATTGTTGTCAGGAAGATGACCATGTAAATCAGCTCTTTGGGCAGGTGTTGAAACATGTTTGATTTAGAGTGTCACTCACTCACTCGTCCCATATGAGGTTGCTGTTATTCAACCATCTGTGACCTACAGTAATGTCAGTTTCATGTGGTTACCCCTGATATATGCCAGGACAGACACACAGAGGAGGGTGGGCTGTGAGTATACTTTAAATGATGTTTCTAGTTTTCTTCAGGGTCATAGTCAGAATCTCTGTTGAACAGTATTTAAACTCACTCAAGTAGGTCACATGGTTATCTCAATTAGTCATTGAGGGGAAATTTTGTTAATTTGAAAATTATATTATAAATATTGCCGTGTGTTCTGAAGATGGAGGGGAAAAATGTCTATTAGAAAGCACCAGTGTCCTGTAAACTACTGCAATTATGAGTATGAACTATCAGACGTTTATAGTATAACAACTCTCTGTGTAGGAGTTAGATGGGTTTATGTAGAAAGGTGGGTGGGCTTTTAGGTTTATAAGAGCACATACCCCAGCAAATGATCTATTCAAAGTAGGTTGTACATAATGTGTTGTCTGGCTTTTTTTTTCTTTTTTTGGTACTGGGAATCAAACTCTGAACCTTGAGCTTGGGAGGCAGGCAGCAGCAGCACCACTGAGCTAAATCCCTGGCTCCCATTATTAATTGTTCAAAACGTTTTAGGCATCCCACTGTTTGGGGCATTGCTTCTGCAAGTAAGTCATTGAATGAATTTGATAAGGACATGTGATTTTTGACTTAAAGTATAATTTTTTTAATCAGCCTTGACTCCAAATGATTTGAAAGGATTTTAAAAAACTATATCCAGCTTAAAAGGATAGACATACTTTTTTACAAGTTAGGATAGTCATAGTTGATTAAAAACTGTTTTGACCAAAGAACAATACAAATTAGAATGAATATATAATTCTACTTTAATGATGACAAGAAGCATGTTTATGCATGATTAAAGATAATATTAGATTGTTTTTAAGTTATTTTCATTAACAAATTTCTAAAAGCTAATTCTTAGATTATTTCCAAATTGAAATAAGTAATTTTGGGTGTTGTGTATTATCATATAACTAATCGAACTTCTTTAGTACTCACTATTTAATTTTAAATGAATGTTTCTGAAAAGTTACTTGCATAGATGGTAATCAGCAGTTGTGTAGTTTACTGTGGGACACCAAAGTGCTGCATAATATTTATATTAAAAAAAATCTGAGGGCTGGGGATTTAGCTCAGTGGTTCTGGCGCATGCCTCGCAAATGCAAGGGCCTGAGTTCAATCCCTGGTACCAAAAAATAAAATAAAATAAAATAAAATAAATAAAAACCTGGGGCTGGCTGGGTTTTAGCTCAGTGGTTCCGCTGCCTGCCTTAGAAGTGCAAGGATCCAAGTTCAATCCCCGGTGCCAAACAAAACAAAACAAAACACCGTTCTTTAAATTGTGGATCACGTTATTCATAGTCACTGGTCAGTAAAAAGACAAATTAAGGGGGCTGGGGATTTATCTCAGCTGTTTGGTGGCCTGCCTTGCAAGCTCAAGGACCTGAGTTCAATCCCCGGTACCATAAAAAAAAAAAAAAAAAAAAAAAAAA